GTGAAACCCCGTCTCTACTAAAAATACAAAAAATTAGCCGGGCGTGGTGGTGGACGCCTGTAGTCCCAGCTACTGGGAGGCTGAGGCAAGAGAATGGCGTGAACCCGGGAGGCGGAGCTTGCAGTGAGCCCAGATGGCGCCACCGCACTCTAGCCTGGGCGACAAAGCGAGACTTCATCTCAAAAAAAAAAAACAAAAACAAAAAAAAACAAGAATAAAAAAGAAAAGAAAAAGAAAAAAAGTATTTATCCCTTTTCCTTGGATTTTCCTTGGAAGGTGGATTCAAACAAAGAAAAAAAGTAGTTATCTTGTAATTCCTGGACTGAACCACATGAGCTCATCTTTGGCTCCCATGCTGCCTAGTAATCCTGTTTTGTGTAATCTTATTTTCCCAGCTGGGTAGCAGGGGTTGTGCTCGCAGAAGGTACTCTACGTATATTTATTGGTTAACTCGATGTCTCCCTCCTTAGGGAACCTCTATTCTACTATTTTATACTCTCCTTGCAAGTACAAGGCTGAACCGTGGGTGGGTCAGTCTATGCTGTCGAAGATTGCCTTGGCTCTCTCTCCTTAGCTCCCTGTATCATCCCAACCATTGCCCGCTTCTTGCTGAGCCTGAATCCTTTGATTTGCTCACAAACCTGGATCTGCTGTGCCAGCTTCATAAAGGGTGCCAAGTAGGACGACTTGGCAAGGTGCAGGATGGATTCAACATGCTTCACTCCCTTCTTCACCAGCTGTTTACTGATGCCAGACAGGTCCATGCATCGGTTGCGCCAGAACTCAATCTCCTCCAGAGGACCTAAATTTTCTCCTGTCTCCACGGTCTCCTGGGCACTGAGCACCTCCTTTATCTGCCGGGTCCAGTGGATCATGGAGGCTGCAGACGGGAGTACAAAATCTCCTGAATTTCTTCACACTGCTTCCCAACAGCATCCTTCCCTCTCCCCAACCCCGACAGAGACCTCCTAACCCAACTCCATTGTCAGCCTCCAGGCCTCCCCTTTCCCTCTCCCCTGTGATCGCCGGGTGACGCTGACAGTGCCAGCCACTCACTCTCTAGCCGCTGCACCAGCTCTTTGTCCTTTACCACCACTTCAGGCTTCATGTTCATGGCCTCTGCAGGGATGTAGAGGACCGTGTGCCCCTCCAGTTTGTACCGAGTGTCTAAGGAAAGGAAAGTTTGTGGAAGCGGACAGAGGCGATGAGTTCTTGCTGGCCCCGCAGGAATCATGGTTAATGATCGGTGGGGACCAGGAAGTATACGCATTTCAGGAGAGCAGGCAGGACAGATGATGACTTACGCTTTTTTGATATCGAGAAATGACCAAAGGCAAGAGGGAAACCTCATGCAGGTATAACGAGAAATTGCCAGAAAATAAGGTCAAAGATCTGTATTGCGCCTTCAGCACTCTCTGCCACGAGACATGCGAGTCCCCCCAGTGCCCTCACAGTACCTGTATTTCCCCTTCCCCTACATGTGCTCCTAGAAATTTCCAAGTCTAGGCAGGGCGCGGTGGCTCACGCCTGTAATCCCAGCACTTTGGGAGGCCGAGACGGGCGGATCACGAGGTCAGGAGATCGAGACCATCCTGGCTAACAC